GTTTTCAAGACTTGCAAGACAGCCACCCCAGTAACTCTGGACTGCCTGCATAGTTTTAGCTTAAACTTTGCGAAATTAATCAGACTTGCTGTTAAAACCTATCCACGTTTGGGACGAAATAGCCAATAAACTACGAAAAAGTATTTTTTGATTAAAGATGGCGCTGGTAGCTGTAAAATGGAGAATTTGAACACTTGTCGCATGAGTAGCAATAAGTCAAATTCATGCAGGGCTGAAAGAATTACGTACCGTTTTTAACAGCCAATTTCTTTTTTTTATTTAAAAAAAAATTAGAACATGAGACTTTCATTCTTCACGTAAAAATATGATTAATGATACTAATAAAGAAATAAGTGCCGATTTTTCACATNAGAAAATGTTATTTACCGGCTTTAAGTCGAACCGTATAGGAAAACACTGCCCTCGGTCTTTTATGTACGGACATCGCTGCGCTCGTTCCGTACTGTCAAGACCTCGGGCAGTGTTTTCCTATACGAGCTTATACGGACCTCCCAGCCGGTAAACAACGTACATAAATATATCGTTTTATATTTTCTAACAATTTTTAAAAAATACTAAAATACATTACAAAGCGGGTGAACGGTTAGGGAGTTGCCCCATATTCGTAAATAAACTGCATAGGTTGATCTTTTCATGGCTAACTGACTTAATATGAAAATCTCTTAACTTCACATGCAGGAAAATTGCCCTCAAGGGAGATACACTACTATCTTTACAATTTAATAATAACATTCATATTGATCAGTTATTCAGGGATTTGCGTGGTGTTTTTATTCTCTTCCCTGATCTACTAATGCGCTGATCTGTACAGCTAGTGCTGGGACTGAAATTCTCAGAAGTGACTTATATTTCACACATATGCCAAGAGGACTTGAAAAAAAAAACTCAAGCAGTCTTAAATCGCTCTTCAGGTGTGTTCTAGCATGTTAAAGAATTTCCAAACACACACATAAATAAAGATATATTAAAAATAAGTATTTGCAGTTCAAAACAGATT